GAAACCAAGTTTCTCCTTGGAGGCTAGGATTTTGAAGCTCTGTCTCACATACTTTAGGCATGTGGCCAGGAGGGACCAATCCTTGGAGAAGGGCATCATGCTCACAAGGGTGGAGGGACAGTGCAGGAGAAGAAGACCCTGGATGAGAAGGATTGATATGACACATAACAGCAACAACATCAGTATTGAATACTATTTTGTAACCTTTGTGAATATATTAGAAAATTGTATTCATACTGTTGCTTCAAATAGTATTTATTTATGAAGCACTTTTTTTATGCCTAGTAGTCAATATTTGCCAATATACCTTTGCTTCTTAAACTAGAATAATAACCATACTTTAATTCATTTGTTCAATAAATGTTTATTGAGTACTTCTAAATGCCAAGCATGGTTCTGGGTTGTTATTGTTCTGTGCTTTTGAGTCGACTATGACTCATAGTGACCCTATGCACAATTGGCTCTGTTCGGAGCCAATCTCACTGTCTCTGACACTCCTATCCTCATTACCCCAATTATTGTGTCAATCTGTCTCAACCAAGGTCTTCTTCTCCTGCATTGTCCCTCAACTCTTCCAAGCACAATGTCCTTATCCAAAGATTCATCCCTTCTTGATACATACACAACATATATAAGACAAAGTCTCAATCTTTAGCATCTTTCACCGTCTTCAGGACAGGTCTGTTAGTTCTCTTGGCAGTCCATGGTATGTTCAAAACTCTTTTCCAACATCACAGCTCAAAGTCATCAGTTCTTCTGTCATCCTTTGTTATTGTCCAACTCTCTGACGCATAGCAAATAAGGACTAAGACCATGGGCTGGACCTGGGAGAAGGGGCACTTTAGTCTCTAGACAGATATCCTTGCTCTTCAGTATTCTGGAGAGGTTACTGACAGCAGATTTCCCTAATGCAATTCACCTTTTGATTTCCTGACTTCTGGTGCCACGAATGTTGATTGTGGAGCCCAACAAGTTGAAATTGTTAACAACCTCAATCTCTTCTCCATGGTGCTGTATTAGTCTTGGAAAGGAACAATAAGCAAAATGAAGAAGTAAGTTAATTAGGATGTTAATGGGTGATAAATACTTAGAGAAAAATGAAGCTGGGATAGATCCAGTTAGGATAGAGAGAACAGGATACAATTTTGAATAAGGTTATTGTTGTTATGCACTATTGAGTCAGAACTGACTCACAGTTGACCCTCCAGTAGGTTTTCAGAGATTGTAAATCACACAGGAGGAGATTATCCATTTTTTTTTCTTGGAGAAGTTGGTGGGTTCTAACTGCCTGCCTTGACAGCAAAACTCCATTAATCGGTGGAAAGAGTAATTGGATATTAGCCACGGGTGGCCAAGTGACAGTCGGTCCAGCCAGCGGCATGAATGCTCCTGGGGTAACAGTTATCAACAGCACAAACAAGAATCTTATCACTGCCAACAGTATGGGCGCTATGTTTACAACTGAGGGCCTTTGTATGGATACTACTGATCAATGAGTCAGCAGCTTCCAGTGAAACCATTTTCTTTGTTACCATGACAAAAAAAAAGGAGTAATAGGATAATAGCTCAGAGAGCTAATGGGTGGGGTTAGTGGGTGACAGGTCTTATAGCCTAGTTGACTACATGTAATTTATCATCCATACTGAGACACTTTTTTTAGTGTTGAAGGGAAAATTAGTACTATTAATGATACCAGGTCAATAGACATAAACTAGAATTGTCTTGGGCAAACTGACACATGTGATCGTCCTACTTAAAGACTACTATGAAGAGCTCGATATTTTTAACCTAGCGTTTAAAAGTTGCCAAGAATCTTGGCACCAGCAGTCAGGAAATCAAAAGACAAATTGCACTGCAAAATAGGTTCTCAAGGATCATTCCAGAGTACTGAAAGCAATGATGTTAGTCTAGAGACTAAGGTGCACTTGATCCAGGCCATGGTCTTCACAATTACTTATTATACATCAACTGGACAATGACTAAGGATGACAGAAGAAGAATGACATCTTTGAGTTGTGGTGCTGGAAAAGAGTATTTAACATACCATGGACCAACAAGAAATCAAATAGGTCTGTCGTAGAGAGGGTGAAATCAAGTTTCTTCTTAGAGGCTAGGGTTTTGAAGTTCTGTCTCACATACTTTGGGCATGTGGCCAGGAGGGACCAATCCTTGGGGAAGGAAATCCTGCTTGTAAAAAGGGTGGAGGGATAGTGCAGGAGAGGAAGACCCTGGATGAGATGGATTGATACAGCAACTGGAGCAACGAGAGTAGGTGTGTTGGAGTCAGTGAGACTGGATCAGGATAGGGCAAGCTTCAGAGCTGTTGTACATCGGGTTGCTATGAATCATCCGTGACTCGATGACAGTACATAACCATTACAAAAACAAGCTTAAAAAAAAAATTCAAACCCACTGTCTCAAGTTGAGTCTGACTCATGGAATCTCACACGTTTCCAAGGCTTTTCATCCTCATCAGAGGACACTGCCTAGCTCTCTCCGAGAGAGCAGCTCAAAAAGCTCGCTCACACGTATTGACCTGAAGTCCAAATTGACTCATAGCTGACTGGGATTTTCAGAGACTGTAAACAGTGCAGTAGGAGAATTTCCACCTTTAGCCTATAGAACAGCTGGTGGATTCAAACTGCCTACGATTGGGTTTTCAGCACAACTCCCTACTCATTAGGCCACCAGAGCTCTTTAGAGAACAACTAGGGGATTCAAACTTCAGACCTTTCGGTTGGTAGCCTGACAGGTTGGCAGCCTGCTTCACCACAGCTATTCTCTGAGTTTACTGATGGTTAAAGTGAAACCTGGTAGCATTTTGCATATTTTTCCATAGTTACATTTAGTTGTGCAGGTGCAGGTAGGAAGAAAGGAGGAGGGGCCTAGGGCCCAACTAGCATTGTCATTTCACCAGTAGACTAAAGGAAATTATGAAGCAAGAAAAAAAATGCTTTTTTTAAAAATAGAAAGAAGCAGGAAAGTTGATAACAATGACTGGCTATGAAGTTTAAATCAGACAAAAAAGAGAGGGAAACCTAAATGAGGTAAGAGAGAACTAACTCTGTGTCAGGCATGGTGCTGAATACCTGTATTATCTTCCTCCAGCCCCTCCCCCTCCTAGCCTATTTTTTTTTTTAATTGAGATTTTAATGAAAGTTTATAGAGACTTTGGGTTTCCATTCAGTCATTGTTGCCTTTTTTCTCTCTCCCCACCCCTCCCCCCAGTTCACTTTTCTCTTTGAAAAGAAAAAAAAATTATTTCGTTGTCCTACAATCCCCTCACCCCACGCCCACTCCGCCAAGTCCACTTTACTATGCAGCTCTTATTCTGAACTCTTGTCATGAAAATAATACCTAATCATATATTACTTTTAATCAGTTCTCTCCCTCATCTGTTCTAATGGCGTGT